GGCGTGGGGTCTGGGGTTGGGTTAACGCGTTTGTGCACCGATTCCTCCTTAGATGTGTCATAAGCTGCACCTGTGCAAATCACAGCTCCTACGGGCTCCATCGCCATACAGGTCTACCTAGATCTGCACGGCAGATTAAAGGTCCCTGGATTGCAGGGAGATCTCCGGTTAAAAATAAAAGTACCAATCGTCAGTGCTTGCCACCCAAAGAGAGTATGACGCCTCGCACTGCCCAGCCTGCGTGAAGCGCTGGCTGTGATACCTGGCTGGCCAGGGGAGGCAGGCTCTCCTGATTTGTAGTTGCTGAATCACATTAAGAGAGGTTAACACACGTTAAACACTTTCCAGAATATTGGGCTTTTCAGCTAAGCAGTGAGTGGCTGCCAGAGAAGTGCCATGTCATGGCAGACGGGGAGAAGAAATGTGCAAAATCCGTGATGAAAAGAGGGGGCTATTCATGTGACAGTGCCAATGCGAATATCCACAGGGCGATCCCACACTGGGAGATCCCTGCTCTTGGAGACCAACCCAACCCAGCTTGCAGCTGACTAGTGGCACCCCGACGTGCGTGTAGCCCTGGCAGCCCTGAGCAGTGCACAGGCTCAAGTATTTATGCAGGCTTCTGGACCGGTTTTGTGACTGTATGTTATTTGTTCCTGAGTTAGCTCGATTTAATTTAGGGTTGGTAACCCTGCACAAGCTGCAGCCACAGCTTTGGCTGCAGCGTAGGCACACTCCAAGGGAAAGGTTCAAAAACTCGTACGTTTGTACGCAGCTTTCGGCAAGTCATCTGAAAATCCTGAGCCACTCCAGAGCTGCTTCTGTTCCCTTGCACAGCCAAGGTGGTGCTGCCTCCTACTGCCAGAAGTCCCCCGACCCTGTGGATGTGGCGCATCTTCAGCCTGGAGGGACCCACGGGAGCCGGCTCCTGCCAGGTCTGTCTCCTCACCTTCCCCAGCGGGATGGAGAAGGACGTGTCCCGGGTCAGGAAGGGCAGAGCAAATGAAGATGAAAATGAAAAAAATCAGGCCTGTTCAGATGCCAGGCTTGGTCCAGTATTGGACACATAAAACCACCTGAAAACAGCCTTTTCCATCAGCTGGGGTAAAGCTCAGTATGGCTGAAGTTTGAGCCTGCAAAGCAGGTGGCATTCTCAAAAAATCTATTACTTATGTGTGAAGGAGTGAAGGGCAGCATATTTACACTGACCTTTTTAAGCCACGGCCTGTGCTGCCTCACTCTTCCTGTTCTAAGGGGAGATTTTGCAACCCACGTTGCAGTATGGCCCCGATTCTTTCCCTGAGTCCCAGCTTACACAGTGATTTGCAGAAGTGCTTAAATCACCCTCGAAATGCTATGTGCGGCAGGGGAGGCTTAGGCTGTCTTTATGGACTAAATCACTAGAGGTAGACCCCCTCTACATCAGCGCTGGAACTGACCACAGGTCATTCTGTAAAACACGAGGTGGACTGCAGTGCTCACAAGCGGCAGCTCACAAACGCGTGGAAACTTGGAAGTGAAATTCTGTAGGCTAAATTCATCATCCAAACTGAGATCAATAGAAAAAGTAAACAAACAGCATGAACATCACTGAGTGAATTAAATTTCAAACAGTAATACATAATGATAGCAGCATAGGCAGTATGTTTTATGTTTTTAATATGTTTTAACACACGAGGTTTTTTTTACATTTCTTGCATGTATATTATTATTGTGGTGTTCTATTCTTTCCCATCATGGCCATGATTCTCTTCTCATGTGGAGCAGAGAACATCAAGACTAATTGCATTGAAATTAATGTCAGTTGAAAATCTCAACTGTTTTTTGTTAGCTGCCAAGTGCTGGAAGCTTCCCCTTTTCTCCTCTGGCCTTGATGGCATTTTTAAAACTCCTTGTACGTGAGACCTCACCTACAGGTTACCCTCCCACCCCTGATTTTGCTTCCCCTGTGATGTGCCAGGCCGGGAAGGCTTGTGGCTTTGCTGCGTTCCTCTGCTAGCTCCTCGGCATAATGCCGTGGTCACTCCCTGTGGCCGGAGCATCCTCTGTGCTCCACAGTCTCACTCACTCAAATCCTTGCCGCGTGCCAGCCATCGAACAGTAACCTCACCTGCTGCTTTCTTGCTTAAAAATGTCCCATCTATCACCGAGCGTGGTATGATTGTAACCATAACATACAGTAAATTAACGCAGACCATTTAAAAGGAGTTCAGGCCCCTGCCTGAAGGAACACCTTCCGTGCTGCCTGTTGCAACCCACGGCTTCCCCACAGCCACCGGTTCCCCCCTGTCATCCCTTGCTGTGTGACTTGTCAACATATTTTCAGCTCCTGTAGGGAGTGAAGCCTACCTCTTTAGGAAAGCATGGCGTTATATAAACAGAAATATGCTGTGTGCTATCTAATCCTGCTCACTGTACATATATTTTTAATGATTCATGTAGACATTACTTGCCCCCTCATTGTGCTCTTTCCTCTGTTAACAACTCTTCATTAAGAATAAGCAAGCAACTGTGCCCAGTCAAGCAGACTTTCTAAGAAGAGCTGAAGGCCTAGGAACAATACGTAATTCAAATGCCTTACATAAAGAATGCATGTAACAAGAAGCTGAACATCATCTTAAAAGTTGACATTTCCCACTTCTCAGACTCTCCGTCTTGAGTGTGGCATAGCAACTGCCTGAGGAAGAGTAAAGATAATTTTAATGCAACATAAAATAAGGGGGAGGTGAGAAATACTACGTTCTTAGTCAACATCCTCTACGAAAAATATCGCCATAGTATCTCTTTGGTATAACCTACCTTTAAAACATGTACCCAGCGAGAACTGAATTCCCAGCCAATTCATAAGACCTTAGCTGAATGCTTTCAAAGAACGCGAGAGGAGTTCTGGAGGTGACCGGTGTAGGACATTCCTTAGCATCAGTACAGTGTGCCTCAAGAATGTGATTTTCTACGTGTTACCCCACTTTTGACACACCAGTGCAGAGGTGGTGGGACACGGTCAGACCTTTCTTTTGCCTGTGGATTTCAGCAGTTGTGGGGGCAGCCGCACAGCTGTGTATACACAGCATGGTGCAGGATTAGACCGTGCGTGTCACACCTTGAGGTTTCGAGGCCATAGTGGGGGCTGTTACACCTCATCACTTCTCACCAGTAAATCCATGCCTGCTCTAGTCCCAACAGCCTCGTGCATCAGCAATTCCTCTGGAGGGCAGATGGCTACGTGGCTCAAGGGCAGGGCTACCAAGCACAGTCACACTTGTTCTGGTGTGCGGTGCACTTCTAGCGCTCACTGCAAGGCAGTCCTCCCAGGGCAGCTCCAGCAGCTGGGACAGGACGTATATGGTTCCTCAGCGAGTGTTTACATAAAGCCCAGACACAAATCTCTTCCAAAGGATGAAAAAGCCAAGAAGCATTATTTAGTCTTGCTTCAGCAGCTCATCACCATACTGAGTAGTACCTACTTCAGCTGGGCACTGGCTCCACAGGGGCAAGGGATCCTAAATTAGAGTGGGTGTTGCACAATCAGTCTCTCACTGCTTTAGGATGTGCTTTGTTTGTCCAGGTGACTCTAAAGTAGTCTATTGAACATAGTTTATAACAGGTTTGCTATTTAAATTTAAATACAGTGTTCCACTTTAATTAGATACTTACAGGCTTAAGTGTAAAGGAGTTTTAACTGTAGTCCTTTTCACAACCTCACAGAGTTTACAGCAAGGCAAACCCACTGGATTATCTAGTCTAGCCACCTGTATATCACAGCCTGTTCCGTTTCACTGTTTTTCCTGTATTCAGCTCAGTAACTTGCAGTTTGAGCAGTTGAACAGCCCATAGTTTAGTACTTAACATAATAAAACGTACATTCGTAAACAATTTTACTCCCTGAATAGCTTTACTTTCCCCCTCTATCTATAGGTCTTCAACCCGATAGTGTCTCATTAAGTAACTGCTAAGTTCCAGCGCAATGGCCGTTGTTGCTTCAGCAGAGAGCGAAATGCGCTCTGAATTGGGTTTCCCTGTTAATTTAAACTTGCAATCTGCTTTGAAATTCCTTAGGGTGAAAGTTGTGTTTATGTCTGGTTGCTAACATGTGCCTAACCTTAACTCTGCCTCAGCACGTATAAGTGCTCCTCGATTCCATGCTCTTATATACCCCTTTATTGCATTATTATATGCTATATTTGTTAGGTCTTCTCTAGTCACTACAGAAGATGCCAAAAATATTGTGAATTATTTCTCTCCTGCAAATATCATCACAGTCTATTTATACACTGTCGCTTCTGAGATTTGATAAGACCAGAGCGTAAGATGGCATGGTTACAGATGCTGTCAAAGTTAAGTTAACACAACATATTTCATCGCCCTCCCACTTAACATGCGTAATACACAAACGGTTGCAAACTATCCCTCTTTTAAAGAAGGAAAATATATGGATTTAATTTTTAATGATTTAGCTTGGTAATTAATCCAAATTATTAGTTAACAATAGCTAAAACAGAGAACTATAATGGATTCTCTGGATAATGAAAATATTTATTATTTTAATAAGTTGCATGGCTGGAAGTCTAAGTCAAGTCTTAGTCTACTGGCCACATATTGCTGTCGATTCACACGTAGGACCCCCACGGAGGTAGGTGGATGGCTGTGTCCCTGAACGAAGAAATATAAATCGTTGCTTCCGAGTATTGATGACAACATCTATCATGTCAGCTGCGGAATTGATCCATCCTAAATTATGAGCCAGGGCTGAAGGAATTATGCCAATTAGAGAGACACAGATTTTTTTTTTCTCTCGTTTTTTCTCTTTCCTATAATTTTTGCCCCACACAAAAGGCTTTGAGACCTATTTATATTATGAAAGTCCTTTTGTTGCCCGAGACCCAAAGAAAGATTTAAAAAGAAAATGTAATTGCTGAACAGAAGTGCTACAAGGGCCGTTTCAGGCTCAGGGGAGGGGAAGGTCAAGTTTTTAACCTGGAAACAAAAGGATTGAACCCAACGCTGTGAGTGGGCTTTCCCTGGGGTCCGGGTCGAACAAAGCCCTTCTGCTGGACGGTGGCTTTCTCGGCGATGGAGAGGGCACGACCCGCGGCACTGGCGATGAGTGCGGCAGGTACATGCCGTCCTCCAGAGCGAGAGCCCGGTGAGGGGTCTGCAGGTCGGGGTCAGGCACGGGGGGCGTTGGGGGCAGCGAAGAGGGTGTCCCCGGTGACACCTCCCCATCGCCCATGCCTGCCGGTCACCCCCTGACAGATGTCAGGGGCCATCTCGCAAAGTGGCCGAGGGAGCAGCGGACGGAGACCCGAGCTGGCCACTGCTGCCAGCGGCACACGATGCCCCTTGGACCTGAAAGAGAAAGGTTTTTAACCTCTCTTTCATCTTTCCTCCAAAGATTTCTGTATGTGTAAGCAGTGGCAGATTCAGTTAAGCGATTACTACATATTTCCTTTTATCTTATGTTCCTGCCTTGCAAATGGCTTTAATAAATGCTGTAATTATAATTCTCAGTGACTGCACCAGTTTTAAGGTTGCATCCCTTCAGAGCATCTCTTGGAGCAGTGGCTCCCTGAAGAAAATCTCCGCGTGACCGAGGTTGCTGCCTGGCTGCCTTCGCCGAGCAGGCAGAGGCAAGCCAGAGACAAAGGCAGGGATCGCGCTGTGCATGTTCCCCATCTCGAGCCGCTGCCTGCACCACGCGGGCAAGCCCTGAGGAAAGCCAGCGCCGAGACATCTGGGAAAGATTACGATTATATATATATAAATATGTTTTGGGATAATTACATTTACAAACCAAAACAAGGAGGAGACGCAGGTGGTCCTTGCTGAACAACCGCAGGGGCTTGTGCGTGCTTTCTGGGGGTCTCTGGCGCTGCTGTGAGCTGGGGTTAGGTACCAGCAGCCAGGAACTGCCGTGGGGCACGGAGTGGGGACAGGGGTATGGCCAACATCACATTCCCGTGCCGGCCCATTGTCGCCTGTTGTGGTCCCCAGGTCATCTCCTCTGGCGTCTGAAAGGGGCTGTCCCCCACTTGCCGTCGCAGATGGATCACCCAAACTGGGCATGGCGGTTGCGACCACCACCTGGCTTGAATACAAGTCCCTGGCAGCTACTCTTCTCCAAACGCAAGCGAAGGTGCTCAGCTTGGGAGGCAGGTCCTTTGCCTCCCGTGCCTCACCCTGCTCTTTGGCAAGGGTGGTTAGAGTCAAGGAAATAATCCAGCAGCATCGGTTGGTAGGAAAGCGGATGTGGATCTGGACTTCCCAGGGGGGTTACTCCTAGAAAGGGGCATCTAATGGTGAGGAACAAGAGATGATGGTGGTAATGATCTGTCTGGATGACAAGGTGACTATTCAGAAATAGCCGGCACTTCAAAAAAAACCCCAACAGCTTAGGGTGGGATCCTTTCATCAATTGGTAACGCCTCAGGAGGTGACAAAGGACTTGCCATGGCTGCAAGTCAGCCAGCCCATCACTGCCGTGTCAAAATGTTTCCTCTGCCTTCCTCTAACAGCTGCAGGCGCTGGTCAGTCCCTGGGCTTGTGGGATTGCTGTTTGGGTCCAGAGCAGCCCATCTGACCTTCCCTCGCTATTTTGATACTCGATGAAATCCATGCTCAGCAAAGCCCCAGTAAACATCTCTCAGCTGAAGCCCTTGTTTCAGGGCTACTGGGAGCGTTATCCAGGGGAATGTTTCGTTTCATGAGGGAAAAAGAAGGCCTTTTGGAAAGGCAGTAAGGTGTTTAAAGCAATATTTCTGGACGTCTTGGTGGGTTTTTTATGTACAAAAGATTGTGTATCCAACTTAAAGGGCACAGACCTTAGAGAAATTCAAAGGATCTTTTGAAAAGAGGTTAAATATATTTAAAATTTATGAGTGTGCACCCATGCAAATTGGAAAAGGAAATTAAACTATATCTGCAGAAAAGGAAAAATAAATCTACTTACATATGATGTAATTTAGAAAGTCAACTGTACCTTTGAATGATGTCTGGTCGGAAGGATAAGGTAATGCTGAGGAAGGCTTAATATCTGGGCTTAAAAAGCCACATGGGGCCATAGGGAAAAAGGGTTTGCAATATACTTGTATACTCATTATGAAGAGTTTCCAGTAGAATGAAAACTTATCTAGCTGGCTTTCGGCTAAGAGAGAAAGGTACACAAACAGAGAGAGCAAGTACAGTTTTTTCAACCTCATCAGTGTTTTCTGTACAACTAGATCCGTGCTCCACGTAACTAATTTGAAAACCTACACACCGATATTTTTTCCTAAGTCTGGTCAGTCTTCGTGGCTCTCTATTTCCTATGCTGTGCAAAATAAACTTCTAGTCAAATAACTGGGCTGAGAACAAGGGGAAAAAATGATGGGAGAGAGATGTAAAGCAGAAGGAAACCATTTGTGTGGGTATTTCAGGGAGACGTAAAGCACCGACCAACTTAAAGAAAGCAACAAGAGTAATTCACAATATTTTCCTTTAAACTAAAGGTGGAAGTTGTCTGTGTTTCAAGCCTGGCGTGGCACAGGGTGTTACAATCCATGTGCCACGTTAACAGAGTCGGTGATCTCAGCTCGGTTCCTCGTGAGGAGGTACTCACCGAGCAGTGCCGAACAATTGGGTCCCTGGGTAATAATTTTATTGGAGAGGCCAAGAAGGGAACGGCCGCGGAATTAATATTGCTGCGCTGTGCTGTTCCGATTCTGAAGGCGAGAGAGGACTTTGCTTTATAATGCTGACACTGCAAATCCCTTAATGAGCACTAAATTCACTTAACAAAATTCTAACTCCCTCAGATTTCTGATGTAGCTTAGCATGTCGGCTTTACCTCAGAGTTTTCTGTGTTTCGCTGGTCTATGCCATCAACTTGAGCATCCATAAAGCCAGTATTCCTTTTTATTCACTCTACCTGTTTATTCCTTAGTATATTTACCCTTTTATTAAGAGCTTCCACTTGGTTAAGACTTGTTCAAGTATAAGCTCAACAGGAAGCATTTTCCTTTATACTGTAATAACTCTATATTGTTGCCTAGAGGGTGACAGAAAGTAACGTAAGATTCATAAAAATATAACTGTCTGAGCCAAGTAGATAGAATTATGGTAAGCATTAACCAAAGCATATTTCTCTGTCCTATAGGGTGAAATCAGAACATCTTAATGTTTTCTTTCTTGGGTCACATAATTCTGCAGAAGAACACCAAGAGAAATGCCAGACTGCTGCTGCTTGATCATTACGTTCTGTACCAGCCTTTCGAACAGGTTTGCAAATAAAATTACTTTATTTCATTATGTGTCATTTTACATTTTGCCCATGCATCACCCCACTGAGACCATTTGGTTTAAGACACTTTTTTTTTTTAAGCTATAAGCAACTGGAATTTTAAACTCATTTCAACTGTAATTCAGGATGCTTCTAGTAGCCCCTTTTCAAGTTTAATCATTAAATGAGTACATCCTTAGAAAAAGAAAAATGCGTGTCTTATCCTCATTCATTTTTTATCCAAGTAATATTAAAAAACCCCAAACCTCCAAAAGGCACACTGCTGGGGAAATTTTAACCCTATTGAAACTGGCATGGTGGTTTCTGAGCACAACTTTTTTTGGTTTGTTTTCTTTAAGTTGGATGAGGGAAGTGTAGACTTGCTAACTTTCCCTTCTGAGCCAAGGGGGGTGAAATAGCCCGTACATCTCTCACTCTCCTACAGAAAGGAGGTGGCTGAGCTCCGCCCTCCCGTACACCGCACTCCTTGCTGCCAAAAGAGGGGTCAGCATTTTGGATCTGAAATCCTGTAAAGCCATATGTTCTGTGTCAGCAGCTAGACCAGCTCCATTAGCATCAGCAGCAAGCTTTTCAATAATGTCCTACCATGCTGTGGAAGAGCTACCCGCGTACAGCAGCTGTCTCCAGCGAAGAGGAAGCAAAATTATCGTAGTAGCAGGATAAATGCTGCAGGCAAAGTCATGAAGGTGATATTTGTTAGCAGTTGCAGGTTGAGAAAGGAACGTCGCACCTGAAAGACTGAAAGAATAAAGGATAAGATGGTCTATTATGGTATTTTCATTATTTCATTTCAATATTTAGTTAAATTAGCAAGCCTTAAATAAGATGGAACCAGCTATAGTTGTGTTAGGTAGACAGGACGGAGTTGAAAACTCTAGGCCATTTTTCGTATCTCTAGACTTGAGGATTCTGATGTTTTCTTTGTTCTGGTTGCCTGGTAATAATTTAATATTTTTATTTCTATATTTACTTTAATTCTTAAAAAGCCAAGAGGTGGAGTTATGTTGACAGACTGGAAAAGGAAGCTATTATTAATTAAAATTATTTTAAGTCTAAGATTAAAATAGTGCTCCTGCATATAAATTTGCCTTAATGAGCTGGACCCACTGTAATGTCAAATCACTGCATAAATTAGGAAATGTAGCAGACATACTGGCTGGGGACTAGATGGTGCCACTGTTTTAGATGGTGCAGATTCTGTTTTCCCTATATCCTTCCTATGTGCACATGCAGCTTAGATGCCACTGGGTAATTGTCCGTCTCTGGTGCAAATTAATTTTTTTCTCTTGGGGATCATGTGCAGCTGATGTAAGTCATGGCAAACTTTGTTGTAAATCAGCACATCCTGGCCCCAGGATTAGCCATAATGATCCCTCTGCTGACACCCATCTCAGCACAGCATGGGCCCTGCATAGCCCTCCACTCTGGCTCTGGAGGGGAATTAATTTTTTTCTCTTAAAAGACACTAGTCCAAAGTCCATGAAAATCAATGGAAATTTCCCAACCAGCTTGAGTGCAAGTTGGACCGGACCCAGAAAGAAACAGAGTATGGAAATCTGGGAGGCAGCGGTTATCTCTGTTGTTTGCTGGTAGAGCTGGAAGGGAAAGCTTGCAAAATGCCATGCAGCCTGCTATTTGTTATGTCTATCTAAGACATGCACTCACCACCAGCGGGCCTCTGAACAAATCTAGCTTCATCTGAAAAATCAAGCAAGGAGGAAAAAAAGCTCCTATGTAAGACAGCAAGACATTCCTGAAGTTTTGGTGTTTTGATGACACTTCTCTGTAGTCACAGTGAATTGTGGCAATCTTGTATTCAAATTAAATTGTAATACTGACCACTGTCAATCCAGCATATTAAAAACCACGTGTTTCCATCTGCTCAGTGACCTGGAATAGGGAGGACCATGGCAATCTCTGCAATGACAAGCAGAGCCCCTGCGTGGGGTACGACA